TGAGTTGCAAACAGCAAAAGTCGGACAGTGAGGCAGCTTTATAAAAGGTTCTCATTTTATTACAGAATATACACAAATACACTCTTGTAACTACAAGGTTGTGAAAAATGATAACGTAGGCAGCTTCCATGCTCTCGATGAGCTCAGCAAGCCCAGATCTAGGTACTGAAGGTCCAAGCCCAATCCAGAAGAGCTGGAGCGCAGATTCCCATTTGTACAAAAATAAGGTTTCTGTAAATTTAGTGGCAAGAGAAGATTCCCTTCTCTTGGCCATGCCTCAGTACTAGAATGCGTTTCAGCATCAAAAATTCAAGGTATTAGTTTTGTGATCATTAATCTCAATGACCTTTGGTGCTTTTTCAGCTCTTATACCCCTCTTTCCTTGCAGCATCCATTCTTAAGTTTGACAGACTGGCTGATTCCCATCCCACAACTACTGCCATTCCTTGGAAAAGATACAAAGGTGCGTACAGACACACCCTAAATCACTGAGATACAACCATCATTTTAAAAAAGGGACCAAATAACTCAGGTCCATTAAGCTCTGTCAATTGAGCTATTTTAGAGTTTTTAATAAAGGTGGCTCTTGAGAAGAGAAATGAAGGTTCTGTCCAACACTTAGGGCATAGCTAATTTTGTACCCTGGCACTACCCTGTTCACAAGGAAAACAGCAATTACAACCCAGCGTACAAGAATGAAGTGTTCTACTGTGTTTCAGTAGGAAGCTGTGTTAGCTTTCATCCTTCCATCTCTGCAACAACAACAAATGTTTAGGCCAAGGAAAGGCAGTTTAGTGAAGAAAAAATATTGATACCAAGCCCTCAGGCTCCCAGCTGTGGTGCCAACGTGTCTATCTGATCCTCCAAGAACACTTGCTTCACACTTCACACTCCAGGCTTGGAGACCTGCTCAAGAAAGCTTCTGTCGGTCCACACTGCAATGATTGCCTTCTGAGTGCAAAAGTCTCTTTTTTTGAATTCTAGAGAGGTGTGTAAGAGGCTCCTAAGACCACCAGTCACCCATCCCAACAAAATCTTCTTGTAGGAGCCCAGAAGACCGCCAGTAATCCATAGAGACCACAGTCACTCATCTCAGAAGCAATCTGGGAGAGGCAGAACCTCTTGGCTTTTCATTCCTACTGAGCCCATGGCTGGTCCAGTTGAGGTTCTGAGAGCGCACAGTCAGAAGGTGCTCTCCAGCAAACAGTGGCACCCACAGCCCGTGGGACACACTTCCTGGGTGCGGAACCACTCCATCATATGGCTG